CGGAGCGATCGATGGACAAATGACCCATAACGAGGTGCAGGACACTCGGCATTAACGCTAACATTTATACACACACCAAAAGACTGTGGTGATGCAAAATGATTAGGATTACGTTTCCCAATTAGGTTTCATATGCTGTGATTTCAAATATTATGTCTTGGCTTTCTAAAAACATAACTAGAAAAAGTAAATGTGGCATTCAAGTGAACAGCTGCATTCAAGAATGGCTTTAAGAAAGTGGGAGTATTTTGGTTTTCGATGTAATAATGATGTACAAAAAAAAGGTTTTATGGACCCAAACCCTTCCTTTGAGTTTTTTGTGGGGTATGCAGAAATCTGGAGAAGGCCAAAAATGTCTCCAACCAGACGACCGTGAGCATATACACATGCTTCATACAATAACCTAGTCTTTCCTATACATTGATTCATTTAATTGCTCGCAGCACATTCCCTCAGCCCCTTCTTGCTCGGCTGTCTCTGTTTATCAGACCACAAATGGGACAAGAATTAGGCAGCCACCCCAAACTCCCTCCACATCACTCCCAGCCACTGTGGACTGCTTCACTGGAGATGGATCTCTGGTCGGCAACTGTAGCAGTACAAATTCGGGAACTGCCCATTGGTTCAACATCCCATTGTTCCGACCATATTAAACTCATTGTTCCTAAGTCCATTCCGAAATCATCATGATGCCCTGTGGTTAAGGTCTGGTTAGGTTTAGGCACAAAAACCACTTGTTTAGGGTCAGGAAAAGATCATGGTGTGGGTTAAAATGAAAAAGAAAGTGGCAAACACATAAGCCGTGAGCCTGCTCCGCCTCAAGCCGGTCGCGGCACACCATACGCCCGCCGTGTGCCGTTCAGCACCGCGGACAGTCGGACTAATGGGATGTCGAACCAATGGGCTGTCGAACCAATGACATGGACCCACAAATTCAGCCAGTGTAAAATACCCAGCGTCAAGTGTCACAGCAACCTGGTGGCTTGGCTGGGTCTAATCTGTGCAACAGCAGCAACAGAAAGTTTGCTGATCTGGTGATGAGTCAAGGCACCTGAGTTGGGGTTTGCACTGGCTAGATTGGGGTTGCTGTAGTGGCAGGGAGTGCGGCGGAGAACACACTGTGATTCGAGGCAATAGCTAACGTTAGCTACATTAATGTGAATTTAAAGCCGCAGCTGTAAAAAGTCGGCATTGGGTAACAGAGAAGTAAACTATCGGCAACCTTTTCCCTCCATATCTGAAACACTTTGCCAATATTAACATGTTAATTTTATCAACTGTCAGACTCTTTTTTTCGACTTTCTTTTTGATAAGTCTGTCTTCCTTTTAAGGTTGCTTTGGAGTGTAGGCAGTTGCTGCCTATCTTGTTACCTGGTGCACATTTTCTGTGTGGAGTTTGCAAATTTTTGAATAATACTACCCTTTTAAAGGGTTTTTTTTGTTTTAGTTTTTTTAAACAATGCATTTCTCCCTCATGTTTCTTCACAGGATAATAATGTAAGTCTTGTGTTTTAAATATCTTTCATAAATCAAATAGTTGGTAAGCTTCTCGGTGAGGGTTCATGTCTCTACGGTTGTTTTAAATCCATTTTTTTCTTTAACTTTGACCTGAATGCTTATGTAACTGAGCAGCTACTGTAGTCCTTCCTCTTTATCACACTCCCTTCATCTCTCCATTCATCAGTCTGTCCACGCATCCATGCATCCATCTCCAGCTTAATATCTAAATCTGTCTCCAGACCTGCTGTCCTTCTCCCTCAATCTGTCAATTAAGCAGTCCCCATTTTCTCAAAACTGGACATTTTGACTGTACCATAGTCTCAACATCAGTTAATCAGCCAGCTTGTCTTAACTCTCCCCTAATTCCTCCATTCTGTCACTTCTTGACTCCATCCATCAGCACACACCCCGCACCCCGCATGACAGTCATCTTAAAATATCACCGCTAAAAGTCTACTTCAATTTAATGGATCATAAGGCTGGAGCGTGAATATTTAGTGTGTGCGGCTGCCGCCTGGAGATTTAATCCGGTGCTGCATAATTGATGGAGAGACATTGGAAAACTCACAGATCATTAAATGTGATAGCAGATTTGCCAAACACTTTTCAGAATAGTTTATGCTCAACGTCCTGTCAGGGCTATATGTTTTGCAGACAGACAGTTCCTGAAAACTGGAGATGATGGCTATGACAGTGATGATGATGCTTCACGTTCTCATCCAAACAGCTAAATGGACTCAGTTAGGGAACTCCATATAATGACTGTAAGTCCCTTGCAGATTATTTTTTTCCCATAACATCGTGACCTCCAGCACGCACTGGGGCGGTGCGCAGCTGAGGGTGAAGTGGTCAAGATGAGAGTCAACAAAGGAGTTCACGCTGGACAGTCACGGTGAAGAGGGAGCTGAGCCAGAAAGCAAAGCTTTCAATTCACTGGGCCATCTACATCCCAACCCTCACCTATGGTCATGAGTTCTGGATGGTGACTGAAAGTCTGAGATCGTGGATCCTCCGTGGGGTGTCTGGGCTCAGCCTTAGAGAGCAGGTAAGGAACTCAGACATCTAGAGGGAGCTCGGAGTAGAGCCGCTGCAACTTCGGGTTGAAAGGTGCCAGTTGAGGTGGTTCAGGCATCTGATCACGATGCCTCCTGGGCACCACCTGGCACGTCCAATTGGTAGGAAGCCCAAAGGGAGACCAAGAACATGCCATGCTGGCGGTATTTAAAGTCTAATCTGGCCTGGGAACACCTCGGGATACCTCAGGATGAGCTGCAAAACGTTGCTGGGGAGAGGGACATCTGGAGTACTTTGCTCAGCCTGCTGTCCCACAACCCAGCCCTGCATAAGTGGTTAAAAATCGGTGGATGGATTTTCATTTTAGGAACACGACATCTATCCAACCATCCATTTTCAACTGCTTATCCGAAGCCAGGTTGTATGGGCAGCAGACTGAATAAAGTATTCCAGATGTCCCTCTCCCTAGCAGAACTTTCCAGCTCCTCCTGGGGGACCCCAAGGTGTTCCCATGCCAGATGAGATATGTAATCCCTCCAGCTTGTTCTGGGTCTGCCCCGGGGCCTCCTACCAGTGGGATGCGCCTCAAACACCTCTTAACAAGAGGCGCCCAGGGGAATCCTGATCAGATGCCCGAACCACCTCAACTGACCCCTTTCAATGCTAAGGAGCAGCGGCTCTACTCCGAGCTCCCTCCGGATGTCTGAGCTCCTCACCCTATCTCTAAGGCTGAGCCCAGACAACACCACGGAGGAAACTCATTTCCACCGCTTGTATCCGCGATCTCATTCTTTTGGTCACTACCCAGAGCTCATGACCATAGGTGAGGGTTGGGACGTAGATGGACCAGTAAATTGAAAGCGTCACCTTCTGGCTCAACTCCCTCTTCACCACGACGGTCCAGCACAACACTCGCATCACTGCAGATGCCACATCTAAACGCCAGTCCATCTCACACTCCATTCTACCCTCACTCGTGGACAAGACCCTAAGATATTTGAACTCCCCCGCTTGGGGCAGTAACTCTCTCCCAACCCACTGGACTTTAACTAAAACAGTTATATTAACACCAAATATATTAAACCTTGGAACTTACATAATTCAATGCATAAACAACGCATCTTACTTTTTTCTAGTAATATGTTTTAACCCAACATTAGACACTACTTTCGTGTTCCCATCAAAAGCAGTTTAACAGCACTGTACAACTTGTGAGATGGAATATTGTGACATTTGAAGAGTAAACCAGATGTCACAGTGAAGATGATCATAAACTCTACAGAAAATATTTAGGAAAGAATTTCAGAATATTCCCTCAGCAATCACAAAAAACAAAAAAAATATTTGTTTGAGAAACATCTGTTTGAAATGACGCTTATCAAACCGCAAGTTTGCGTAACGGCATTATATATTGTTTCAGTACGTGTGTCAGTGTTTCACCATTTCACCCCAGCGGGTGCAAATTAATTGGGAACAAAACATGTTCTTGTATTTATTGTAATTAATAATGTCTGTGGCTTTTACAGAGCTAAACATGGCAGTCATTCTAATGTATTGTTATACCGAACAGACGTTCATCTTGTATTGTATTATTCATTTATTACTTTACCATCCCCACGAGAAAACTGATTTACAGTGTGGGCACAGAAATAATAAAACAGATAAATTAAAAACAAATTACAGACACGAGTAATACAATGCAGTGAACTGCAGTGCTCTCACCAAAATTGTTGTGTAAGACTAAAAACATAAAATGTAGAATTCATTTTTCTTTCTCACTTGGAGTCAGACTTGTTAGAGCTCTACATAAGACAGTCATCCTCACTCTTCTGGGTGTTTTCCTTTCTGTAAATCAAACCTGAGTTCATCATCTGCTTCACGTCAGAAGCGATCGTCAGCACCATAATTTCCAGAATCATCCTCATTACTGTCATCATCATCATCATGCTCTAAATCAGCAGCAGAGTTCATACTGCAGTCATTAAACAGAACAGGAAGAACTCTGAGATGAGTGTGGAAGTGATACACCCCGTCTGTAACAATGGCAGCGTGAGCATGTGTACAGTAAATATCTGTCTGCTTTCAGAATTTTTCAGGTTATGGTTCCGTTTTTCCTGCACGTACCTTTCTTTCTAGGTTGACGCCTTGTTTTCACTTGCGTATGTGAACGGAGATGAGGGAACTGGAAGTCCATTCACTCCTACGGGAATCTCCGTGATATCCAATGTGCCTGTGAAACTCCTCCGTAATATTTAAGTCTGGAATTTACCTTTACTGCATTTTTTTTCTGTTTTAGACGACTATACATTGATTGACAGCTTTGATTGTGGACTTTTGGTTTGAAAAAAAAGTCATTTGAAGACGTCACCATAGGCATTGAGTAAAAATGAAGTTAAAATGACTGCTGACATCAAAACTGCTGTCATTATCCTTCACCTTCCTCACAACCAAACCCCGTGTATTCGTCCCTACCCTGAGCTTCTTACCTGGATCTTGATCGGCCAGCTGAAGTTGGACACGTAGACGTAAAAGGTGATGTTGTGGTGAAGTCTGAAGTTGAACTTCTCACACGAGAAACTGTCCCGGTGCTCCTTGATGTTGGTCCTCGCTATGATGGGCATCTCCTCACCTGAGATGGTGCCGGCTGTTGGAGACAGGAAGTAAGAAAATGAATTACAAAAGAGTCACGCACAGAAGTGTTTTGCCGTCCGAGTGTCTCAACAGTGTTCAGTGTCTGTCTGGTGGGCAGCTGAAGCTCTCATGATGGGTAACGGGACAAAGAGTGATATATCTGAGGGGGTTTATTGTATTTCTCCTCAGCAGCATTCATTCATTGTAGAAAACCAAGAGACAACACATCAACAGCAGCTTGTCGTTGGTGGTGTTTTCAATGAGAAATGTTGGCAGAGGTCCTCTCAGAGGTAAAGGATGTGAGAGAGTGGACAAACATACAAAACCTTTGTCAGAAAAGGTTGTTTTTAAACCTGCTTCTAAGGTGATCTGTCAACTGATAGAAATGCTGTTTATAGGCCTATTGTGGCTTTCTTGGACGATAATTATGAAAAAACACAGACTTTCACCCAGGAGGAACGTCAGTGTTTACTGGACCCAACCACCACCAATCCCGTTCGTCCTACTCGGACTTTCGCCACACTAACTTTTGTTCTTGTCCCGCCGCTATAACACCAACATTAAAAGACGGCTTTTTTTGTCGGTGTCTGGCGCGAATCACTGCCAAAGCACTGCATTTCGACGACTTTGAAGTGAGACCGGGTTGGTTCCTCTTTTACCTCTTACTTATTGAGTCTCTCATTCAAACTCAGTGCTGTCTGATTTGGATCGATGTTTCAGCGCTGCCTGGACGGAGATCGACTGTATTTTGTGGAGGCGCATCATTGCATCTCGCCGCTTAGGGGGCTAAAATTAGTGCGTTTACCCTGGTGTAATGTTTTCATCAAAGCTGATCAGAGCCGATAAATACACGTGACTACTGCAGAGTCACTGGACCCGGGTGTGAATGCCGATTTTAACCTTTCCCATCACATTAAAAAGCCAGATGTTAGCAGGTGTTACTGAGTTTTGTGCAGTGGAAAAGGGGCTTAATATTTTATGTGAGACAGGCTCCTTCTAAATCCCAATGACCCACCTTTGTTGGTTCAGGCCACTTTGGGTTGGTATCAGCAGTCTGACCCTGTCTTTAGCCAGAAACATGTATCCTCATCTGTTCATTGATTCTTTGTTCCAATTAAATTTCCAGCAATTATGGGGTAGGTTGGCAACAACAAAAGGTGTCCCAGGTGGGACTGGGAAGGAATAAATTGGGACAGATCACACTCCCCTCTCAGCTTGTGGAAGGCAACAATAGAGCAGAAAGAAACAACTCTGCAGTGTAAAACTCTGCAGCCACGTGAGAGCAGCACAATGAGAGTCAAACACAGCGACCCGTCAGCCGAGCTGCCTCCACTGCGAGCATCCTTGTAAAGATATTTTTACACAGAAAACGGTAAGTGGGCAGGTTGAGTGAAAACAGTCGGGATTTTTAAAATGTCATGGTGTGCCTTTTATCTCACGCAGGCAAATTATTTTGGTGACACCTTGCAGTAATTCAGGGCGAGCTTGTAAATTCCTCTCAGCGCTCAAGTGGTCTGATTCCAGTATCCTTCAGAGGACTATCAGCAGTTCTGTGTTAATGGCCAAGTTTTTCAGACGTTGTGAATAAAATATTTCCACCTCCTGCTTTATCAGGGCCATTAAACACTCTGTAATAGTGTGCACACAATCACACACACACACAAGGCCCACAGTCCCAAACTGAAGAGGCTCTGGGCCCCAAGACACTGAGTGGTGGAAGCAGAGTGCTTTTATCTTAATTGAAATCAGGAGGGAAAATGTATAAAACAGCCTAATGCCAAAATTCAAAATAGCTTCTGATGTGTTTTGTCAGGAGGGGGAATCCCCGGGAGGCGAGCAGGAAGTGGATCTGACCATTTCACTTGAGGACACTTGGCCACCAATGAAAGATACTGACTGTGGGATATCTTTACAGGCAGGCGGCTAAACGGCAGAGCTTTAGAAACTGACTAAACAATCAACCACTGTATCAAAATCTAATTACATCTTATATATTACAGCTCACTCTGCTTTATTAGACGGTACTGAGGAGTCAGAAAAACATCCTATTAAAAAGACTAATGGCTTCGTTTCAAGAGAAGACCGCCTTTAACAGTTTTACTACTTTGATAGAATTGTAGATGTAATGTGTCTTTACTGAGATGACAGAGGGAGCATCATTTTAAGTGGATCTGGTTAAAGATATTACCATTATTTAAACTATTTAAAGGCCTCTGAAACCCCAACAGGTGTTTCCAGGTATTCTGGCTGATAGATCTCTGCTCAGGCTGAAGGTGGGAAGAGCTGTTCAAGTTAACTAACGCTAACAGGCTAATGTTGTGTTCACACCAAACGCAATGCTAAACTTCGCATCACGTTACTCGCACGAGTTTGAATGCTGGAATATTTTGTGTTGACTCGCATCATACACACGTGAAATCGCTGAATTGATGGATGAACTTCCGTTGGTACATCCTCAGCGTCATACATCCCCAGAGGATCTCATTGCTGATCGGCTATCGTGGCACGAATCACTCGCTGAAGTTCCAATTTTTCAACTCTTGTGAATAAGAGTATGAGGCCAAATTGTGCTACTCGTTTCATTTGAAACAGGAGACTTAAGTGCAACACATGTCAAAATATCCATTGCTTTCAATGTCATGTCACACACCTGCAGCATCTTGCAGGTGTGTGTGTGTGTCATATGTCACATTTCACCAGCTTATTATCACATATGCAGATCTGTATGTCACAGCTCATCTGAATTCATCAATTACCGCCCTTTTGTCAGTGGAGCGTTCGGTACCCTGATGTCACTTTTCAACATTCACCCGACGTGACAATTTATGCTTCTTACATCCTGACAGTGTCTGTCAAATTTAACTTACAACATAGGTAAAAATAAAACATGCTTTAAAGGGACAGTGCTCCCAAAAATCAAAATCCAGCCATTATCTACCGATGCCTATGGAGGCTCAGGTGAAGTACCGCGCTCACGAGACCGTGAGACATGCAAGCACACACACGTGAGCTCGGTGCACAGAGAGGCAGTCAGAGCTACAGGCTACAATGAGGCTAAAAACAGAGTTCAAATGACGTTTTTCCAAACAACTTTTTATGTCGGGGCTTCAGGACACTTGGATCACTACGGACGAGCAGTATGGAGATATTTTGTGGTTTCAATTATGTGTTTTTGGACGTTTGAATCTGGGGCGCCGTCAGCCTCCATTAGGTGGAGTTGTGTTGCTACCTCCTCTCCCCTTGGATCTCCACAAGTGTTGTGAGGACTCTAAAACTTCACCTGAGCCTCCCTCGGCATATGGGTGAGTAGATAATGGCTGAATTTTCATTTTTGGGTGCACTGTCCCTTTAAGGTTTTATGTCTTTAGGTAAAGGCAATAAAATTATGTTGTCACATTGAGGCAACCAATAAGTACAGTTGTTACTGACATCATGTCACGTCACATGACATATGTCATGAGGATAACAGGCTACATACAGCACATTACATTCTTATTAAACTTGACTTTTCACACTGGAAACGAACAGCCGGCTTCCAGGTGAAAGTCTGGCATTTGTTTGACCAATCAAACCTCCCCTCCCGCCCTTCCTATACAGACTTTTTCGCACTTCATACTATGATAGTTACCAACTACATCACAAACTACCACAGTCCGATGGATATCATATTCATATTGAACACTGCCTCTGTTCGTATGTGTCAGATGCCGAGATCCACTGACAAAACAGCAGTATTGACCAGTTGGGAGTGAGAACAGGCTGCACAACTACTGTCAACCATTTCTGTTTGTAGGCGTTGGCTGTGTGCAACAGAAATCAGATGCCATAACATTAGGCGCTGTGTGTTGCACTTTATATGGATGTCAATTAGAGCTGAAACGATTCACAGATTAACTGATGTAACATTAACTGGCAGCCATTCTGATAATTGCTAAAATGTTTAAGTAATTTTCAAAACAAAAATGCTGAACACTACATGGTACCAGCTTCTTGATTTTGAGGATTTGTTGCTTCTCTTTCTCTCATGTGATAGTAAACTCAATATCTTTGGGTGTTGGACTGTTGGCCGAATAAAACACACTATTTGAAGACATCGCTTTGGACTCTGGAAAGTTGACTGGGGCATTTTATGATTGTTTATCAACAAAATAATTGGCAGATTAATCGTTAAAGACAATAATGAATGTCAGTCAAACACAGGTCAAAGTCTAATCAGATAGAATAAGTAAAATTACATGTGAGTTTATGTCTGTTTTGCAAGGACCCTAATTTTTCATCGACACCACCTAAATAGACGGAGAAACCATCCATTCATCCTTTATCTGTAACCGCCTATCCTATTCATGGTCGCAGGGGGCTGCAGTCTATCCCAGCAGTCATTGGGCGAGAGGCGAGGCAAACCCTGGACAGATCTCCAGGCTATCCAAGGGCTGATACATAGAGAGTGTGAACCATGTACGCTCTCATTCACACCTACTGGCAATTAAAAGTCAGTTGGAGAAACTAAAATGCTTCATATACAATCAACCAAAATGGATTTTTAAGAAAAGTATAAATTCATGTTCTTTACCTGTTGAGCTCAGAGACCATGTGATGTTGAGGTTGAAGTTGTTCGAGGCTTTGATGGACATGTCGAGGTTCTTGTTGGCCTGCACACAAAGCAAAAAGAAACCCATGCAGTCGAGTTACTGAGCTGGACGTAACACTTTGATCGAAGCAGATGTACATAGAAGTGGAGCACTGAGGGGAAAACACACAATGAAAGTTTAAGATGCATTCAGACTCAATGCAAAGCAAATTCTTGATGCTTGGTTTATTTATTGACTGCTGGGGTGGTTTTGGAGTTCACGTTGTTGTTGGACTTCTTCCTCAGAGCATAGACACTTGTTTTACTTATTTTCCTTTCGGTCTGTCGACCTTTTGCACTTTGTTGTGCACATGCATAAAGTCCACCAGAAGAATGCTTTGCTAAAACATTTTTAACTCGAGCCTCTCCATCTCCGCCTCAACTTGTGTCACCTGGGGCGAATTTGAATCTATTGGCCTCTTTTTGTCTTGTTCCATTGATTCTGTCTGCAACGCTGCCTCAATATTCCACTCTCACTTGTATCTGAACACACCTTCAGGCTCTGAGGAGGAAAAACAGGTCCAATAACACTCAAGAATTTAAATGTTTCTCACTGTAGACAGCAGGTTCCTACATTTAGAGAATAAATGTTTTACAGCTTCTTTTATAAAACAGCTTTGTGGCATAGTGATCAGATTGTCTGTCAGGCAACCAGGACGTGATACTACTTTTAAAAAGAAAAGAAGAAGAAGAAGAAGTTCAACCTATCATGTAAGAGAGTGTTACAAACAGGAAAAAATACAGGTTACATTTATTTTGAAACGCTTCATGTTTAGATCCTAAATTCCCTTTCCTTATGTGCCTTTGAGTTCATGCATTACCTGTTCAGGTGTGGCCATGAAGTTGATGCTGGTGTAGTGGCGGTCGTCTTCCTGAAGCAAACTGAAGGTAAACTGGTAATCGATCAACAGGTTGTCTGGGCGAGGAGACGAAGGCAGAAACAGAGAGGTGAAAAAACAGAAACACTGATAAAGTTAAATCAGTCCAATATTCAAATTGTTTTTAAACTTAATTCAGTATATTAACAGAGGTTCATTTTTGCTTGACTTGCACAAAAAAACTCAGTGTCAACGCAGTGTTGGACGGTTTATAAGACAATGGTTTCCTGGGTACAGATATGCTAAAGGCTCCACCACTCCTACAACACAGGAGCAAGACGCACAAACTTTGTGGTAGTCTCGCCTTTTTTGTTGGTGTTGTTTTGCATGTCTTTGTAATTGTTTGCATCTTTTCATGGTTTTGTGTCTCCTTGTGGTAGTTTTGCATCTCTATAGAGTTGTTTTGTGTCTTTCTTCGTCATTATACATTTTTGTTTGTAGTATTTTGTCTTTAGGAGGTGATTTTTTGTGGGTTTTTGGTCATTATGTGTTGTTTTGTAGTTCCTTTGCATCTTTTTGTGGTTATTTTGAGTCTCTTCCAGGTCTGTACGTGTTAGGTATAGAATCGTCATCAGTGCAGGTCATACTATGTGTGTCACCATTTAATCAGACCGACTATGGCAGCTTGAAAACGTGTATTTGAAATTTGAAATTGGAAAGGGAGTCAATATTGTGAGTGTCATGTTGGGGAGAGCTCCAGAGGCGGGGGCAAATCAGCTGAAGGCTCTAGAACCCATGGTAATAAAGCGGGCAGACGGTGATGTGAGCTGGATTGCAGAAGAGGATCTAAGAGTACAGGAGGGTGTGTAGATATGAAGGAGTTTGGACATGTAGGAAGAAGGGGCTTGATTACTAATGTGCGTGGGAGGAGAGGTGGATTAGTGTTAATGTAAGTGGGATTTTTCAAGTGAAGGTCAAGGGGGCTCTGACACGTTGGGCCCCTGGATCTGTGCCCGGTTGGCCCGTTCAGTAATCCATCCATGCAGGCCGTCAAATGTTCTCTGTGATGGCGTGTTTCAGTAATGATGACGTTCTTCCAGGGGTTTGTTTATGATAGGAAAAGCATTAGAGACGCTAACCGTGAGTCAGTAACCAATTAGATGAATAAGAGGTGGAGTTTTGGTCAAAGATCTCAAGCAATGACAGAATAAGAAGAATGCATACATGTGTCTGATCACACACACCCAGATGCTTTGTAAATATGAGCATTAGCGCTCTCTATAAGGATGCCATTTTTTTAGACGAGCACACGGTCCGATCGATGGAACAGGAGTGAGAGTCAGAATAATCATGTTCTATCAGAGATTTAATCAGTTCTGAAAGCGGCTCCCGTTGAGTGTCTGCAAGCGGCTCTTTGTCAGCGAGACAATGGCCAACATATAGAGGGGGAATCACGGTGATTCAACATCTGGACAGACAGCAGGAGCCACGCTGGGTCACCTTGTCTGCCTGCCTGATGGGGGTGGAGAGGAAGAGGAGGGGGACACCGAGGAGGAGGAGAGAAAGGATGGGATGAGGAGAGAAAGCAGCTCTGTAGCCGTGAGAGGAAAACGGGGTGAGAGGATATTTTTTAAGTTAATCAGCGTGACTGCTGAGTGCTAACCCTTCAGGGTAATCCAGGTGTGTGTGCATGTGTGTGTGAGATGCATCCAAGGGCAGTCCAGGCTAAAACAGACTGAGGCAGGCAACACACTCTTCCTCTGTTCATACAGTTTTGGCCATCAGTCAGAGCAGATATTATCAGCCCTGTCGCCAGAGAAAATGATGGCATTGTATGTTTCTGGAAACAATGCATTTGTTGCATTTGTATGTGTTATACGTATTATATCAACACTTATGAAGTGACAAAGTAGATAAGATGACCTTGTCATCAGGAGGTGGAGGGGATAGTGGATGGTGTGATGCCTAGACGAGATGCCTGCCAACCCACAGACCACTATTCCAGACCAACAAACAAGAATACGGTTGTTTAATAGCGAGTCACTGCTGTGTTTCCAGCTGCTTTTTAGCCACTTAACATGCTGCTGTAGTGCCATGAAAAATGGTCGTTATTTACAGACACATCGCTGCAATTCCTGCCAGGATTGTGCCACCAACTGCAGGTATTTTAAGCCAAAACATGATCTTTTCCATACCAGAAAAAAAAGAAATGTAAAATTTATCTGCTACCTCTAACTCCACGAGGATGCCAACGTCCTCGCTCCCCTCCTCCTCTGTTAAATGGTATCTCCCAGGCGCACTACTTCATCAGACCATGTGATGTTTGGTATTGCCGGATTCAGGAAGTTCTCAACTTTTTAAAAATAACATCGTTTTTCTTGTATTTCTTATGTATTTCGCACCAGAGCAGCCTAAACACACAAAGTCCAAAATCACAATGAGTGGTGACAAGTCATGTCATGCCGTTTTTCGACGGGAAAAGTTAAAGGATTACTCGCGAGAGCGGGATCACAACTTTCACATTTCAGTGTCATAAACAACATCAGCTATCATAATCACACCTGATTTCAATAAGGTACAATGTTTGAAGCTGGCTGAGTGTTGTTTGATCACTGATAGTACTGTTTTGAAGCTGAGTGACCGACTTGTCTTTTGGAGCTTCGCCTGGATCTTTTCATGGAAAAAAACACTGTAGAATGGTCATACTTTGAGCAGTCTTCTTCAAATTTGAAACAAGTGTTCACTGATAGTGTGCCTACAGCCCCACAGTGTCATTTACCTGCTCAGATGTATCACCTAGAGTGTTTCTGACACTTTCTCAAGAAACTTCAGGGAGTTTTCTTTCTGGCAAGACCTCATGCATGCATGTAGTCAGAGCGGTTCAGACGCTACAGTCATTTTAATTTGGGTATGTCATTTTAGGCGTTTTTGCTGCAAAATGAGGGTGGAGTACAAGAGGTTTTAATAACACACAAATGTGACACATCTGTGGTTTACAGAAACGTACAATGCTGACATTTATTCTGGCAATTGGGTAAGTATTGTAGTAATACATTTTATTATAAAAACTAATAGTTAGAGTCCAGTAGGTCAGCTGATGATTTTTGTTTCAATAAACATGAGTTGACTTTTATAATAAAGGGGTCACAGGAAATGTACAGTTTGTATACAGTCTCTTTCAAAATAAACACACCCAGTCGGTACAACACTGCGGATTGATGTTTTTTTCCTTTAACAAAAAACACACGTGGTCACATTTAGCCAACACATCCACGTGGTTGGGTTTAGGAAAAAATAACAGGGTTTGGCTTTACAATCTTAAAGGACGCAAACACCAGCCTCCCTGGTGAAAGTCGGTGGTTGTTTGACCCATACACCACTCCTCCCACCCGTCCTACTTGGACTTCCACTGCCTTAACGTACGTTGTTGTCCCGCCGCATTTCCCCCTGATGCCAGGCACCGTTGAACAATACTGACAACCGGTATCATGCTGACGTGAAAGGACAACTGTTGGAAGTCACTGACCATGCAGCAGTATTCCACAACTTTGGAAAGAGGCTGGGTTGGTCTAGGAGACATCGCCACAGCCTAGGAGACGGATCCACACCTGACTCCTCCACAGCTCCACCCTCTTGTCCAAATATGATCATAACTGGCTCCTAAAATCCAAGATGGCGACACTGAAAATATCAAACTCCAGGCTTCAAAATGGGACATCAACCAATGGATGACATCACCGCAGCTTCGGTCACTATTTATACAGTCTTTTTTGCAGCGAGTGAATCACAGCCCAGCCTGACACAAAACATCCCGTTGTTTTGTAAATTAAAAGACTGATTCATGGCTTTTACACAAATGAAGGCTGATGGAGTGGTGCTCGCCATGTGGCTAAATCAGCATTAATAATAACAACAAGACTTCGTCTATGTACTGTAGCACTTTGATAAATAAAAAAACAAGTGACTTCACAACAGAGTGCTGATTGGTATAATTAGTATAAGTGCCATTTAACATGAGTGTGCTACTAAACATTAATTTTTAATTACGAGTGGGGAGAAGGAGGTTAATAAAAATGTTTAATCAGGTCAGCATTGGTGGTGATAGCACTTCAGTGTTTTTAGTTGTTGCATCACTGCCCAAATCTTGTTCTTGCAGCCCTACAGAGGAGCAGAGGAGCGTGGCAGCGCTGATCAGACGTGTCAGAAACTGTACAAATGCTCCTAAAAGAAGAACATCCTGCGCTGTAACAGGTAATCTGTTGCTGTCTAACGCTGAGTGGCAGCAGTCAGCAGAGACGCCGTTAAGAGCTTTTCAACTTAGAGCGTGGAAAAACTTTGTGTCACACGCCGCGGAGACAGAGATGTGTAGTTATCACCTTCCTTTCAGCTTTACAATCCCGGGGCGTCACCAAGACGAAAGCAAATTATGTTTGACAAACACCCTTGTTTTGTTCAGCCTTCATGGCAAGTTAGCCCGCACAACAGATATCATCAGATCAAAGACAATATTTTCCCCTAACATCTCTCTCTTCCTCCCTTCCTCCCAGGCAGACGTGCACTGCTGCTGCTCGGTTGTTTATCCCATAAGGGTCGTCAGCTTCAGAGTATTTGGGTTTTTATACTTTGTATAAGGGAAAGGGACTTATCTGAGTGTGTGTGTGTGTGTGTGTGTGTTTGCCTCTCAACGCAGCCAGTATGCACACGTCTGTTTGCATACATCTACCTCCTGTGTGAGAGTGTTTACAGGTGTGTGTGCATCTGCGTAGTTAACCAAACAAATGAGAGCACAGCACCAAAAAGAAACTCACTCCGGTCCCTCTGCGTGTCTCCAATATGTCTGATTTCAAGGCTGTTAGGAACAAGAGCAGCAGCCAGGTTTCAAAGTTCATCTCAGCTAATTACAAATCCCATCTGAGAAATCTGACAGCAGTTTCACTTAGGCAAACTCAATTACACGCGTACATGTGAGAATTCGCACTCGGGATGAATTGTATCAAGGTATCACTAAAGGTATTAAGGATCCCCACAAGAACTAAAATAGAAATAGTCCATGTCAATTTCTCAGGTTCACAGATGGGTGATCTTATTACCATAATAG